CACAGCCGCGCTCTTTCCAGAGTAAGGAATGTGCCTGTAGTTGTCTTTGGGGTTTACGTTTCCTATTAAAGTGGTGATAGCCGAGAAAACTGCTTTCACGTTTCTCCTCAGATATCCCAGGGTAAACACTTGGATAAATATTCTTGGGGTATTTGCTTGCTAGACATTCCTAGAATGGCGTGTTTTTTTTTTTTCTTCCCTCTGCTTTTAAATATATGATCCATTTTGTTTTGCTTCTAACCAATAAAAGTGGATTAGAGAATAGAACTAAATGTGATCTCGCGATACCATATTTCGTAAACGAAAATAGCATGACGCGAACAGCTCATGTCGTCCAGGTGAGTCGCATCCCTTCTGCCGTTTGCTTGGGTTGTGGTCATCAGAGAAAGAGGGACGAGACGAAAAGGCTGGGGATCGGGAGACGTGAGCTTCACGTCGGCTTCAGGGCCGAGGCGCGTCTGGGCCGGAGTGAGAGAGGGCAGCTCTCCCTTCCATGGGCATCTGTGGTGGTCAAGGGCAACCGGGTCAGCCCCTCCCACAGTCAGAGGGGCCGAGCCGTCAGGGGTGCTGCTCGGGACCTTTAGAGGCAGCAGCTCCAACCATGTCTTCCCTCTTTTTAGTGTCTCTCTCTGTGGCTGCAGTAAGGCGCATAAGGTAAACAAATGTGTTAGATGCAGCAGCTGTGGCATCTATGTCCTCATGAAGCAAGGACCATGGTATGGGACGTGGTGTGGTTTTCTCGTCTTCCTTCTTGCATGCTTTTTGTGCACCTCCCCGCCACCCGTGCTGATGTTCTTTCTGCTGCTTCCTCTTCCCCTCACTCAGCATTCCTAGAAGTAAAAAGGAATGCAAGTGAAACTTAAAAAAATAAACATGGAGACAGCATAGCATAATCTAATAAGCACAGGCTCTGGAGGCGGACAGACCAGGGTTTAGGTCCTACCTCTATGCCTAACTACTCACATGACCCTCAGTATGTTAGTTGATTCTCCAGAATCCTGGTTTCTTCCTTTCGAGAGTGGGTATAATAATGCCTCCCTTGTTGCCAGGGCCTTAGATATTTGTGAAGCACCTAGTACAATGCTTGGCACAGAGACACACTCAAAACACTCACGCTAGACTTATTACCATTGTCGTGTGTGTATATATATATATATGCATAATTCAGCTTCTGAATTTGGTGGATGGTGGGATGGGAATAGTTGATTTGGTGTCGTGGGATTCTGTAGTCTATGGTTTGGAGTATTTTTTTTACCTTAATCATGCGCAGATAGAACCTCACTTTTATTCCAAAATGATATTTTGGAATTGGCATTTCAGAATAGAAACGCCTTCCTAGAAACAGTTCTCGTAGTTTGTCTTGATTCAGGCCCCCTTCATCTTATTGCCATCCTCCTAATGGTCCTTTAACTTCTACTCGTCCGTCTTCTGTCCACTGTTATGGGATTATTTTCCTAAGAAAGAAATATTTAAGCTTAATGAGCTATTAAATGAAAAATATTCACTATAATTGGCACTCAGCATATGGTTCTTCCTCCTTCCTTGCCAATTGGAAAACCAAAGGGGGATCGAGGGAAAAGGACAAATATATAGAAGAGGAAACTTAACAAGAGATGGATGTGGCCCCGTCGGCTGGCGTATCTCTCAGTGCCTTCTCTTCCCCATGTCCCCGTTGGAGCTGCTTTGGGAGCAGCCGTTGGGAGTCCAGTGGCAATGCCGTGGGCAAAGACCTGGACACCCAGCAAGAGCAGAAGCTCCCTTAGTCACGTATCTCGATTATGGAACTTCAGTCATCTGTTTAAGTGGCTAGATTTGGAAGCAACTCGACGGCCGTGTCTGTGTAAGCCCTTGGTGCAGAGAAAAGGAGGAGGAGAAGGAAGGAAGGGAGAAATGAAAAAAATGAAGGAAGGTAGGAAAATGCATTTGCTCACAAACCAGGACTCTATAAGCCGGCTCTGTGCCTGTCATGCCTAGTCTAGCCAAGTTCATTCCACGGGGTAGATTGAGACTGTGCACGTTTGTGCTTCACTGTCGCGGTCATAATCACTTGCTTTTATTTCGATGACCCACTTTTTGACTCTGGTCGAGTGACGTTCCTGCCCACTCGCCTTAATCTAATCATCATAATGACTTTTTAAAAAACCGTTCAATCAATGCCTTTTGTCATCGATGTGCTCTGTCATTGCCGATTATGGCTTTCCTCCCTAGAACTCAAAATTTTTACACACTTATTTCTGTACTTAGCGCGTTTTTGAGGTAGAAGAAACATGTAGAATTTTTGCTGTTTTACAAATAGAAAGTGGAGTTCAGAAAAGCCAAATATCTTGCCCAGAGTTGCCCGGTACCGGAAGGGTTTAGTCGAGAATCCAACCTCCGAGCCCGCTGTGCGCCACACACGACGGCAGAGACCCTTCCGGCCTGAGACCCTCCCGTGGGAGCTGTTCGTCATCTGGCCTTCTTGTCGCTTCAGTCGGGCTAGCAGTGTGGGAGGGAAAGGCAGAAATAGTTTCACGCAGTCTCTTTTCTTTGCTCTGAGGAATATATGGAAGATTTATCTCTGTTTTGTGCTTAATTTTTGTTACCTCTGTAGGTGACGTGGTACCATTATCACAGAGATAAGAAGTACTGTGAGTTTTTTCCGCTTCCAGCCAGCAATGTTAGTTTAGCTACAACAGTCATTTCAGAATACGTGAAGGTGGAGAGGCGTGTTAGAAAGGAGCGGATGACTGAACACGTACGTGTACAAGTTCTTTTCACAGACATGATCTCTCTGTAATAGCTGGGCAGGAACTCAGAGCTCATCTCCGCTCACCTCCCTCCCTTAACTGAGGTACCTGGCCTAGGAAGATGAGGTGGCTTAGGGCTGGAATTAAAGGGCAGGAGTGAGTGTGATTTACCATGTTCCCTATTAAATTGCAGATGGATAAACATCTCAGAATAAATACCCCTTGGTCTTCTAGCTTCGGGACTTTACGAGCCCAGCACTTTGGATGTGCCTTTCTCCGTAAAGGCCACGATGACAACATCCTCCCTGGCGTCCCGAGGTTGAAAGTCTTCCCCGCTCGGAATTACCTTACGGACCCCTCAGCCGCGCGTTGCCCCTGCCCGCCTTTAGCAACCTGCAGGTTCTGCCAGGGCTTAGTATGAAAAGCATTCACCGTGAGCCGCTTTTTCCGGGTGAATTCTTTCTATTCCAGAACCATCGGACTTGCATGTTTCTTGTCTGTCACTCTGATGTTTTGCATCTTTCTGCTGGGACGTTGCACTTTCAGGAAATGTCTTTTCTTCTCATCTCAGCTGTATGCATTCTACCCTGAGAGGGAGAGTCACAGAGGGCCGGCAGGGTAGTATTAAAAAAAATTCTAAATGTGAGTGTTCTTAGCGGCCCAGCTGGCATTCTCATACGTGTCGTTACCTGTGTCTGCCATGCAGGTGCTTGAGGCTGGCATTTGTGTCAGATTGCTAGAGGCTTCCTTTTAGGACCTCAGTGCCTATGCCAGTATTTCGATGGCCCTCATTACAGCCAAGATTTGAATATCTCAAGCACATATGCAAAATTCAGTGCATATTTGATTGGGCCTAACTCACGGTGTTTGGCGACAACATTTCAACCCCGTCAGCACGGAAGCTTTTATCACCTCTGTATGGGTTTTTAAACTTTATGTGATCTAGGCGATGCTTTGCCCACCAAGAGATGGTATGGATTAGTGACGGCTCATCAGATGGAAGCCTGGCGAGCAAATGTGGGCCCCACAGCGAGGCAGGCAGGGCAAGACGGGCAAGGAAAAAGGCTTAAAGACAATACAGGCTGCTCAAGGGCCTCCAGTGAAATTCTCCTAATGTGGTCAGATGAGTGGGAAGTCGTAATGGGCCCTGCCTTCAGCTGCATCTTCATTGGCGCTGCCAGATTCCGGGGCCAAAAGGAAGCCAAGAATGGGGGAGAAAGAAAGCAAAGAGGGTTCGATTAGTAAGGCAAGTCTTTTCGAGGATGTGGGTTAGAAAGCTTATTCTGAAGTGTGGTGCGGACCACCTACGGATTAGTATTCTGTGTGTCTTTACTACATTAAGTGATAGGATAATATAGAGAGTATAAATCTAAATAAGGTATCTGTTCTATCCTTTTGAGAGATATAATTAAAACTCTCACTTTTTAATGTTTTAAATGAGTTAACGACTTTTTTTTTTTTTTTTTTTTTTTTTTTTTTTTTTTTTTTTTTTTTTTTTTTTTTTTTTTTTTTTTTTTTTTTTTTTTTTTTTTTTTTTTTTTTTTTTTTTTTTTTTTTTTTTTTTTTTTTTTTTTTTTTTTTTTTTTTTTTTTTTTTTTACCTTAAGGGCTAGATGTTATTTTGAGGCTACTTCTAAATGACCCATTTCAACAGAATTTAAATTTAGTTCTCTGAGGTCTCACTTAGATGTTTGATCAGACAGATGGTATTTACTTTCATATTGTCAGTGCGATTTAGCTGTTGGTTTTATACTTTATTTGAATTTTTATAAATTTGAAGTCTTTCATTAAGGAAATTTAGACGAATTCGATATAGGAAAGGCTGCAGGAAAGATTACAAAGTGGCTTCTGAATCGATTTCTTCTACACAGAATATAATGCTTTGTCCATTTTTAAAAAAGGAACAGACTCCAAAGTGGGAAAATGCTGTTGTGACGTGGACTTCGGCATCAGAAGTGCCTGGGCTCCCGAGCTCTCTCGGCCCTTTACCAATTGTGTGATGTAGCGAAAGTTTCCTATCTTGTCTACTTCTCGGTTTTCTCAGCTATAAATAGGAATAATAATGGTCTTTTTACCACAGATTCTTTG